CGCCGCCGCCGCCGCCGCCGCCATCTTTGAAGACGAAGAGGAAGAGGGATTAGATCCTCGTCTTCTTCCATCGATTGTTAATGGGAGATGAAGATGAGGAGGTTGCTCTCTTTTGGCTCGATTCACTGCCGCCGCCATCTCGGGGTTCTTGCTCTTGTAAGTGAGCTCTGGCATTAAACTCCTCGGCGAGGTTCCGTCGATTGGGAGCAAGAGATTGCCGACGAGAACGGATGCGGCCATGATCTCTCTCTCTCTCTCTCTCTCTGAAAAAGCTGAGGAGAGAATGGAGAAGGCTTCAGAAGAGCAGTGGCCGCCACACCGTTAGATTTTTCTTTTTTCTTTTTTTTACTCTTTTTTTTTTCTTTTTCTTACATTGTTTTCATGTATGCCCTCCAAATCCAACCGTATTTGCCACCTTGTCCCAATATCTAAATATTTGAAGTTCAGCAACTTTCGTTGCTCTAAAAATTACTTTTCGAGTACCTAATTTCCATGAAAAAATGCTACCACTACTATACATCCGGTTTACTCTTCAAGATACCTATGATTATTGACATTTTCATGGGCAACTCTTTCCTTAGCTTTACTCTGCCGATCTTTTTCATCACAGATTTTCTTTTTAGGATATCTATAATAAAAAAATATTGCTAGATTTCACATCTGTAATGATCAGTAAGAATTGATAAAAGTCTAAAACTCCCATCTCTCTCTCTCTCTGTGGTTCGATGAATTTGGTGGATTAAAAGACTTCAATCTAGAGTATTTTTCCTAAGAGTTCATGAAACGTTTTAATATCACCACTATATATCTAATTAAGTAAATTAATTTTATTAATTATAATTAGTCAGAAAAAGAGAAAGAAGGGTAAATACTTTTTAATTTATCCTCTCTCATCTTCTCTCCTCTCTCATTCCATTTTCCTCTTTGTCTAATTAGATATATTCATGACTTAGATGCTTTGAAAAATAAGGATATAAAAAATCAAGTGGGACAAATTAGCAAATATCTATATTTTGGAGTTTAAATATGCATATAATTATAGATGTTGGGGGTATGTGTGAAAAAAAAAATCCTTTTTGGACTCCGACAAAAGACAAAAGAGTTCGCTAGCCAGACGCGAGTGAACGTGTCGTGCCGTGTGCGCGTGGATCACTTGCGTTTTGACGTTTGGGCTACATCTGACCCGTTGGCTAACAAAAGAGCACACATGTTTAGTTTTGAAAGTTTGAATCTCGAGCAAGAGCTCTCTCCCCTAAAAAATTGAAGAGTCCCACCAAGGACACACCATCAACCACACTCCCAACCATATCCCCAAATTCTTTATAGTACTAGTGGGTCATGCATGATATTTTTAAAAAAATATCATGCATGGCCCATTAGCACTATAGAGAGTGTGGGGGTGTGATTGTGAGTGTGGTTGAGGGTATGCCCCTAGCATTATTTAAAATTGAAGGTATGTCAGTACGCGAGGGTACAATAACAATCAAACTTTTTTGTGTTTAGATACCATCAGAAGCGTAGTCAGCGCTTGTTTGTCCTGAGTAGCTGCCCAGGACAAGAAATTCCACCTCTCCCATGACCTCTCCCCTCCTCCCCTCGCTTCACCTCCTCTCCCGCCACTTCACCTCTCTCTCCCGCAGATCCAACCTCCTCTCCATCCTCTTCCAGGACCTCCATCTCAACAATCCACAGCTCTCCCGTTGGAGTTATAATAAAATGTAACTTAAAACTTGACATTGTAGTGGGAAAGTTTAGTCCCACATAGAAAATGGAATAGGAAGGAAGGGTGTTTATAAGCCTTTCCCTTCTCTCTTATGCCTAGAAGAAAATAAAGGTTATGCTCCACACCACACACACACGCGCCAGCCGGGCCGGGTTCGGGTAGGGTCGGGTGGTGCGTGCTCACGACCTACGGACACGAATGCAGCTCCGGATTAATGGGCCCTTAACATTCTACATTTTTATTTTTACAAATCAAAAAAATTAAAACGTGTTAAATATGATTAATAAACGGCTAGCTAAATTATCCCGTAACGTTTATAACAATTGAAACGTAATTAGAATTTAAAACGTATTAAACAATAACATTTATTAATATTAAAAACATGTTAAACGGCTAGCTAATTAATGGGCGGGATTTGTGGATAACAGTTGTTTTTTTCTCTATAAAAGCCAACACATGCGAAGGCTAAAGGCATCGAATAACAACGAGCTTCTCTTCTTTTCTACTCTTCAAAATAAAGTTTTTTTGCTGTTATACGCTGGTTCCCTGAAAGTCGAGAAGAATTCGCAAAGCCTTCTTGAAGAGTAATTAGCAATCAAACCCACAACCTGCGGACACAAATACAGCTCCGGATTAATGGGCCCTTGTGACGCCGCTGGGTTCACACAAGGCTGCAGTCCAAGGTAAAACCAAGAATGTCAAACCTGCCATGCACCACACCGTGCAATAACATATTTCACCATCACAATTAACATCTATCTAGTAGAGCAAACAAACTGTATAGGTACAAAACAGGTAAAAGAAATAATACATGTGATATATGACTAATGGAATGATAACAGTCACATTAAATATCTCATCATCTCCACATACAAAAAATACATAGCCAAGATCTGAGTAGATTAAACTGGATGCTCAACAAGTCCCAAATACAAATATCTGACAAAAAGGAAATAAGGCCATGCAGCAGCCTTTACAACTCTAGAAGAAGACTCTCAAATGTCTATAAATAAAAAATCTACTATGGAAGCTCTAAAAGAAAATATAGAACTAAGAGACGGGCTGAAGCTAAAATGCATCGGGCCGATCAAGTCTACGCGCTCTCCGGGCTCCCTGGCTCGTTACCTGAAAGGCGGGAGGGACAAACGAGCGTCACAAGCGCGTAGCGAGTAAACATCAGCAAACCAACCCAAGGGAAACAGGGCTCTGTTGTATAAGAAAAATACAGTTAATATATAAGAGATCAAAAAAAATCTTGATCTTACTAAGGGGGTTTTAGTATTGTAGAAATTAAAACCAACGAGCATGAGGTACGTTACGAAATAATCCAAACAAGCGAAACATCTCATGTATATACCTTACATCTCAATTAGTAAACTCCTAAATACCGAAAACCCAAGGTTCTAAGTGCGAGTAATATAATAAAAGAAATACGACGAACACCAGAGATAGAAAAGCAGTGTTGTGACATTAGCGCCACATGAGTATCCCATGTTAGTTACTTACATCGAAATATCATTGTCAAAATCTACAGAAGTGTCATGTCAAACTCACATAGAGTGACATGGTCAGAAAACAGATTAAGTGGTCCAAAAGCATAGGACTATAAAATGAAACGTCAACTCGCATAGACTGCATGAAGTAAACTCCCAACTCATGAAACTGAAAAATACGGCGTTGTCCAACTCATGGACCGTATGTGATGGTTGTGCATGGATTTTGTGTATTTGTACTCACTATATAAATCATATATTACATTGAATTGATCTCAAATCAGTTCCTAGCATATCTCAACATATCATAATATATTATTTATAAATGTATAACATATTTATTATTATTTATCATAAAGTATTCAAATTTTCGGGGTTTTACATTCTTCCCCCCTTAAAAGAATTTCGTCCTCGAAATTCAGAAATCATACTTAAGCAAATAATAATACTAGAAAAACACATAGTGGGTCTAATTCAACCCGCAACCAGAAACATTTAGAATTTTACTCTTGATAAGCATATATGGATATTTATATTTAACAGTCCAGGATGAATATATTCTCACTCAACCCTTAATCGAATGGAACTAGTACGTCGGGCGAAAAATCCAAACAAGGAACCCCCCATATATATACCATGTGTTCCGAAAGATTAAGAATTAAGTGAAAATATCCTCATTCTAGCGTTAAATCAAAATATAACCACACAAATAATCGTACACATAAATCAATGCACTTCCTCAATAGTTTCAGGAAGTCGCGCGGCATAACATCTTCGCGACCCTGAAGATCATCTCAACTCCTTTCTGGTTCCACTGAGTTTTCTCTAAGGGAGAGAAAAAAAAAATCTTGTTTCTAAATTTCTCGTCTTCTCTAACAAGTATACAAACTGGGATTTCAATCGTAGTCAAACCATCCTGAAGCTAAATTTCTAATGTGTTCAACACTCACTATCGTTCTTCATCACGTAATTGTTTCTTAAGCATAGAAACACGAAATACATTGTGTATACTAGACATCGATTCTAGAAGATTTAGTCTGTATGACACAGTTCCAATGCTCTCCAAAATCTGATACGGTCCAATGTATCTCGTCGTAACCTTTTTTCATCTTCCGAATTGCTACCTTGAAAGTCAATGACACAAGCCCGGCATCTGTTTTCCAACATCTAATTTACTCTCTCCGTCTGACCATCCATCTATGGATGAAATGCACTACAGTACGATAAATCTGTTGCCAAAAGAATCCTAGAAACCCTTCCAAAAATGTGGAATGAACACTGAAATCTCAATCTGATGCTATCTCATCTAGAATTCCATGAAGTCGAATAGTCTCTTGAATAGGTATCCTCGCATACATCTCAGCTGTATAGTTAGTCCTTGCTGGGATAAAAATGTATTGACTTCATCAGTCCATCCATTACCACCCAAATCGAATCATTCTCTTTCTTCGATTTCGACAACTCTACAATAAGGTCCATAGAAATGTCCGCCCACTTCTACTCCGGAATGGTTAAAAGCTGACGTGATCCTACTGGTCTCTGGTGTTCCGCCTTTACTCATTGACAGGTAAGATACTTAGCTACATACTTTGAAATCTTCCTACGCATAACACTCCATCCAAAGGTGTCTCTTTAGGTCCTTGTACATCTTAGGGGTCACTGGATGTACTATGAACTGAGTACGATGTGCTTCATTTAGCAACTCCCTCTTAAGCTCTGCACTGGTTGGCATAACCAGTCTATCCTTCATCCGTAGACT